TCCTTTGACCCGCCAAGCCTTGAACACCTACCTAAATAGAATCTATGTAGATAGAATAGCTTCCTATTCTATCTATTCTATCTCGGGTCGGCGGACTAATACATCTATTCTATCTACTTTGGGGGCGACGTGGGTAGAAGTAGATAGATGCAGAACCCTGGTTTCGCCCCGCCAGCTGGAGATGGGACTGTCGAGATGGGGTTCCCAGCTTGGTATTGCGATGTCCTCCGACAGTGCTGGGCGAGCGAACACGGGCGCAACATGATGAAAGCCAGGAAACCGCAGATGTGGTAGACTACAGTCATATGGACTTCGAAAGTGCTAGTGCCGTGTCCGAGGCTGTAACCCGCATGATATTCATGTGGCTCCAAGGCACGGATCCCTTCCCGATTGCCGACCAGGAGAAGCGCGTTGCTGAAAAGGGAGAGCCCGTCGCAGAAAAAGGAGATTCCGATTACAGAAACCAGCCGCCAATTACTGAAAAACGAGGAGGTGTGACCTCGATTGCTGAAACCCAGATCCAGATCATCTCCGACCACGAGCGGGTCAACAATCTCCAGGAACCAAATGATATCACCTACTACCAGGGAGCACAGAGCAACCCGTCTCTCGTCTGGAGTCCGTGCAGGCGGCCAAGGGTACTTCCATTCATCTCACTTGCATCGGACAATCCAAAGCCTCTCCCTCCACACCGCTCCCCCTTTGCTTAAACATAACTTCATACCTCCCCTCCTCGGACCTTCAGGCTTCAGCCTGTTACCACTCGTGGTCATATACCCCCTTCTTCCCTCCTTACACCGTCAACGACCCCTTCACATAATCCAACAACAACGGCCCAACCCGCGATGCAATGACCTTGTCGCCATCCAGGCTCGGGTGTACGCCATCGCGGAGATACGAGGTCGAGAAGCCCGTGTAGCAGTCGGCGATGACGATGGGCGAGTCTGTCGAGTTGAGGCCCCGCGCCCAGTCGGGGATGCGCGCGTTGAGCGCCTGGATCTGCGAGTTGGAGCCGAGCGCGATGGGGATGACGAGGTCGACCTTCATGCATCCGTTATGTCAGTCGAAGGTTATTTCTTTTCTATCTGGGCGGAGAGATGTGGAATGGAGCAGGGGGAACAACATACAATGATCTTCATCCTCGGATTCGCCGCGCGCATGATATTCACCATCTTGGTGTACGCGGCAATGATGTCGTTCGTGCTCCGCCCGCGGAACACGTCGTTGGTGCCGAGCATGAACATGACGATGTCCGCGGGCGTGCTCTTCAGCCAGTTGGTCAGGTAGTTGTTGGCGATGTCGATGGCCAGCCAGCCCGAGTGGCCCTCGTGGTGCTGGTCCCAGTTGGCCGTGCTGGGCCGGCAGTTCTGCGGGTTGCTGTTCTGCGAGCCCACGTACTGCACCTTGTCGGCGTAGCCGGCTGCCGCGAGCTGGTCCCACACCAGAGCGCGCCAGCAGGTGATCTCGGTGATGCTGTCGCCGAGGGGCACTGTGTGTGTTAGCGGGTGGTTTGATCTTAGAGGAGGTGTATGAGAGGGTGGCTTACTGATTCTGAGCTTTTGGGTTTGTCGTTCTGCGACCTGCACCGGTCCAGCCAGGGCCAGGCTGGCCAGGCTCGCGGCTGAGAGAATGCTGGAGATGTACATGGCTACACTGTCACAAATATTGAGTCTTTGGTCTTGAAGCTATGTTGTTGGATGTAATGCCTACTGGCGCTGCCTTGCTTCTTATCTACCTTAGCCGTACCTCGCAGGGGGTGTGGAAATGCGTCTGACTGGCACGCTTGTAGTCACTGGACACCAGAACGCTTGTGGAACTATGCTTGCAAAAGACCACATTATCCAGGCAACTACCTTTCGACCGATATTATGGAAGGCTTCTAGAACTCGGAAAGCAACGCTGCGGGCGACGTTGTAACCAGTAGATGCACGTTGTCTGTATATCAACTCTATAGCCAAGGTCCTTGATACGGGCAGAGGGAGACAAGGACCCGGTGTTGATCTGTCCTCGAGGTTGCGAACGCGGCCACTTCCGTTCCAGGTTCGGAAGTTCAACTTTCCACACTTCGTCAACAATAGCCAAGCGAAGCTTTCATTGGTTTTGTCTAGAAGCCTAGTAAATTGCAGTGCGGGACAGCTGGGTAGCCTTAATAATGTAGACCAATTTATCCTGGAGCCCGGGTCTTCGGATCTCAGTCACAGGAATTGGATTCGGGGAATTCATCTGGAAAAGGCCGTGCCTGCGCAAAAATTCAAGGACACAGCGATTTTGGACATTCACTGAAGCTGGTGTATCGAGCTGTTCTTGGAGAAGCGCAGTGAGGGGTTAGGATTGCGAGGACGCAGCGTGAGATCAGGCAGTTATTCAAGAGAGACTCTACACGTAAGTGCCGAAAGACGTTACCGACACCACCAACCGCACAAGGTCGGAGTGGCCAGGAATCCAGCAATGCAAAAACAGCAAAAGAGGAACAGCCGCTGAAGGCTTTCCTGTTGACAACTGTGAGATTCGAACTCACGCCTCTTGCGAGAATGCAATACTGCCCTTTTTAGGGGTAAGGGTTTCCTTGAGTGCATCGCCTTAGACCACTCGGCCAAGTTGCCTTGAAATTTCTAAGTTTATGTCGAGAAGAAAATAGTGAAGACACCTTACCGCGGTTTCCAGAACTCAACATGTTACTTGATGGTGTGGCATGAAAGTTGGCAACTCATTGGAACAAGGAAAGCATTTAGGCGAACCGAAGTCAACACCGGATTTTCTTCCACGGAGATGTGCAAAGAACTGCTTGATGGACACAGAATGGCCGGATGGCTTCTGAATGTTTGCGGCCGTGGATCGATCACCCCACGGTGCGCATGTGTCTGAGAGACAATGCCCAAGTTGGCAAGATGTTTTGATATTCGACGAGGATAATGCACCGCTAAACCTCCGGATACACGTCGCTACACAGACGTTAGGACAGAAGTATAAATCAGGCGGGTGTGCGGCAGCACGTACATCCGTCGGCGAAGCGGCATCTCCATTCTGACCTTGCGTAGAAGGTCATGGTCAATTTCGGCAGTAGCAATCTCGGGCTCTTCACTGGTGGCCCCAAGCGAGGCCACCACGGCGCCCCAGGGGTCGACAATCATGCTGTGGCCATAGCTCACCCGCTTATCGTTGTGTCTTCCAACCTAAGTCGTTGTCAGCCACCATCAACTAGGGTAGTCCTAATGGGCATCTGCACACACCTGCGCGGCGGCAATGACGTAACACTGTGTCTCGATTGCCCGCGCTCTCAGCAGTACTTCCCAATGTGCTCTCCCTGTTGGGACAGTAAATGCGGAAGGGAAGGTGATGATATCGGCCCCAAGGCGCTTCAAGGCGAGACTGATCTCGGGGAACCGAAGCTGAAAATCGTCAGTGGAGGAAACAACCGTGGAAATGGGCAGAACCAACATCGAAACATATGGCCGACCCAACTTTCCCAACCGGAGTGTCAAAAGGAGGCACGATTTCGGCACCTCGCTCGACGGAGCTGAAACAATCACAATCAGACCCGGTCTGCCCTCTGCAGTGACAAGGGTTACTCACTTGCTCTCCTTCAGAACCGGGCCGTTCTTGATGTCCACGTCGAACAGGTGGATCTTCTGGTAACGGTGCGCGATTTCGCCGCGATCATCAATCCAAAGAACAGTGTTCTTCACTCTCTGCGTGTCGAACCCTGGCTCGTGCACGCCGACATGGATCGATAACTTCTCGCGTCGGGCTTCTTCGCGCAGGCCTAGAACAAACTCGCTTTCGTGGACCGGCTTGACAAGGCGGACGGTTTCCTCTCCGGAGCCGGCGATGTAATCGCTTGCTTCGGGGAGAAAAAGAGCCTGTCATCGGCTTTCAGCGTGGAACTCCAGGGGTTGGGAGGGTGAGCTACTTTCGCGCCGGCTTGGCTTGCTTTCTTGATGAGGAGGCGGCACTGGGCGAGATTGTGCGCCATGCTGGCCGTTGATGTCAACTGGCCGACGGCCTGCTCTCAAACCCAGGGGTACATCGTCAGCTGCAAAGTTGTCGATCGTGGTGGCATTGCGCGAGCAAGCCGGGATTCCGGAAGACCCGGCAGAGACGTACAACACGCGCCATCCTGTCTTGCGCAGCCAAATGCTTTGAAATGTCCAGTTACCAATGCTTGTTAGACCTCGGTCAGACGGGATGATTGAAAAGGATTCCTGTGCGAGAGCATGGGGAAGGGACGGCTCGAAGGCCCCGCACATGCAACAGGCTCCCCATGGGCAAAGAAGGCTGTACACCAAACTAAGGTAGCAACAAGCACTCAACCAAACAGAATTGGATATAAAAAGGGAAAGAAGAGAAACAAATTAAAAGAAAGAAAGGAAGAAGTGAAACAGGAGGAAGACGAGGAAAAGAAAGGAATGAGAGAAATAATGTATTGTACTGGTGAGTATCCCTCCTGATTGATGTTTGGTGTACGGCCTTTTTTGGCGGGAGGGGTCACAAGGAAGTATCTCACACCCTAATAACCCTGTCATCGCACACTGATCAGTCGAACTTCCACAGTTTCCTGCACCTCAACCTCTACCATTTCAGGTTCATCGCCTCCAGACTCCCTGACGAAGACACATGTGAGCGCTCGATTATGGAGTCGCTTCGCATGTTGGATTAAAAGGATATTGCTCCATTTGATGTTGTACTATCTCCCCTCCCTTGCCGTCTCATCGAGTTCTATTGACTGTTGATTATTGGCCGCACCCGTTTTGCACTTTGGCGCCTCGAACCCGGGCCTCCATGCTTGCGAAGGCTGGTAGCCATTAGTCGGCTTGCTGCAGGATCTCATCACGTTCGCGAGACCTCCACTTAGCGGAACTTTCTTTGCTGAACCGCGTGTCACTGAGCCGGTCTGTTGGCCGCACAGCTCACCTGACATTCCGTTGTCTCAGAACCAAGCCCCCTTGGGTACGCAGGTACTCGTCTCACCGACTTCGGGCAAGCCTCAAGGTAAGCCCCGAGATGCTGCAGCCGCTGATCGACGCGCACACAGGCAACGATGCCGATTGGTTGTTTGCCGCCTCCGTCGCTGAGCACCCGCGTCTGCGCGGCTACGGTGCTGTAGTGTTCGTTGAACATGCGGAACTCGGTCATCATGATGGTCCTCAATGGATCGCTGGAGATGCACGCTGCAAGTCACGCTAATTACTGGTGGGATTGTGTCTTGAAGCTTTGCGTCCGATGCCTAGGTCGACTGCGGCTAGCATCTGCGCCTACGTGGATACACCCACTCCTTGTTCAGCCATCTGAAGATGCGCATGCTAGAACGGCCGACGTTGACATAGAAGTGGCCATAATCCCAAGCACGAAGCCCTAAATACTGCATCATCAGGGGCAACGACAGGGGCTGGCAGGAAAGACATCTTCATCGGAGGGTGCCATGCACCTGATGCTCTCATAGTCTCATCCACACTTCACCGGCGGCGTACCCATCCTACCTTCGGAAATGAGTTCGGGTGCTCTCGAAATCGATGCAACCTCAAACGGACCGTCAAAGCTTGTCGTCGTCATCAATTGACGAAAGTGATACCTGGGGTGGCGATGACGGTGGTTTCAAGTGAAACCTGTCGCAGGCGTGGAAGCGGAACTTGCGAGGACTGGTTGCACAACCTCGGCTGTCAGGTACCTCCCCCAAACAGATGGACAACTCTCTTTTCACTTTCCTATGATTTAGCATCCTCTTGGCCTTCAGGGACACACCGGTAGTCATTCGACTTGTCAGTTGGCTCGAGATTGGCAACGCAGCGAATTGTGGGTCTGGCTCGAGAACAATACTAAGGGACCCGCGAGAACAATCCTAAGGAAAGCGACTATTGCGGAACGCGCTTACGCAGCTGAATGGCTGGCAACTCACCACATCTCATTGCCCCTTGCAATACGCTCGCATCCAGAGCGTGGTGATATTCTTTGAAGAAATCCCACCCAGAAGTATGAGGGGGGGTTAGGCCAAGGGAAAATGGCCTCCTCCTGCTGGGATTGTTCTTTGATAGCCAGAATAGGGGGCTGGCTGCCAGAGCCACTTCATCACGCCCGAAACAGTCGACTCAATATCTGATCTCCCGAAGTATCGTCGCTCATCGCGAGTCCCAGCATATGGATCTGGACTTCTCGGACTGCTTGCTCCCGTCGAACATGTAACAGTTTGAACTGACCTTATCTACTCACTGTTGCATGTGTCGAGAGACATTGGGGTCTACCGGGACCGTCACAGACGACACAGACTGAGACTTCGCCATCTGACACTATCTCACCCTTGATTAACGTTCCTGTTTGAATTCCGTTAGGATGGAGTCCAGCAACTCAACACCTCCGTTCGACCCAACCCGACAAACCTCCTTCATCCTCTTCGCAGACGGTCAGACCCAGATCCCGTTCAACACGGCCACGATTACCCACATCTATACAAATGCCACCTCGCTATCCATCCTCTACGGCACACAGATCGGCGCCTGCATCGTGATGCTAGCCGTCGTGCTCGCCATGACTCCCCGGACCCGGTTAAAGCGCACGCCCACCCTCATCAGCCTCGCAGCCCTGACGCTGAATCTGATTCGAATGCTCCTCCTTGCCCTATTCTTCACTTCCACCTGGATCAACTTCTACACCGTCGTCTCGGGAGATGCCAGCCCCATCCCCCGCGCCAACTACAACACCAGCGCCGCCACCTCCGCCCTCAGTATCCCAGTCACCATGCTTATCTTGGCGGCGCTGGTGGTGCAGGCGTGGTCCATGATGCGGCTCTGGCCCGTCGAGTACAAGGTGCCCACCACGGCGGTGTCGCTGGCACTGGTGCTGACGACGGTGGGTTTCAACTGCGCCATGACCATTTTCCAGACCCTGGCTACCCTCTACGCGGACATGTCGTACCTCAGAGACTGGGTGCGCCAGACGTATCTCGGGCTGATCACCGCGTCCATCTGCTGGTTCTGCTTCTTGTTCAACATCCGGCTGGTGATGCACATGTGGACCAACCGCAGCATCTTGCCGTCCCTCAAGGGCCTGAAAGCCATGGACGTGCTGGTCATCACCAACGGCATCTTGATGTTCGTTCCCGGTATGTTCTGCCCCTATCCCCTATCCCCTTTCCCTCCACTTGCTGATCTGTTTCCTGGTCCGCAGTGGTCTTCTCCGCCCTCGAATTCGTGCAATTCTCCCGCTTCGAGTCGGCCTCGCTGACCCAGACCTCCGTGATCATCGTGCTCCCGCTCGGCACGCTGGTCGCCCAGCGCCTCGCCAACCCGGCTGCCTTCGGCACCGGCCCCGGCTCGGAAGACGCCAGCCACCACCACCACCACCACAACAACAGCAGGAGGAGCAAGGGCGGCATGTCATCAACTCTCTCGAACCCGCGCTCGGGTCTGTCCAGCGCCACTACGACGAAGCGGCCGCTGCTGTGGAGCATGAGCAGCAACGGCGGCGGGGTGCATCGGGGCAGCGGCGGCACGGGCGCGGTGGTCACGCACATTGCGAGTGATGCGTCCATGGGGTCTGAGAAGGGCGGGGCGGACCACCATCACCACCATCACCATCATCATCATCATGCACAGGGGGACCTCATCTCGCC